ACAACTTATCTTTAAGTCTTGCTTGACAACGGTGTGCGGATCTATACCGAAACGTTGCCTTTACAGTATCAAAGAAGTTGTTATCCATAAATTGTGTCTACTTTATTCATTTCTAACTGGACAAAATATCGATTTCATCATCAGTCCAATTAAGGAATTTAGATACACTCTGTCTTGAGTGAGTGAATGGAGATATTGTTTCGCCGTCTGGCAATATTCCAGTCATGTTACGGCACCCTAATCGCCCTCTGACTCACGTTAACAGGCGGTTCCTAGCCATCATTTCCTCATTACTGACACTAAGCATATGTTGATCTAGTTTAGTATAAACATATTTTATTCTCATGAAAAGGATTAGGAACAACGCCGTGAAATAACTGATATACCTTTCAAAGCGGCATTAACCCAATTCACTACCGACGACCTTAGGCTATACATGTCAATCTAACACTGATATGTTCGTCTCCAGGCTTTGACATTTGATACGATAACCTTTAATCTTAAAGCATACTTGGACGGCTATATTTCACTTAACGAAGTACACGTACACGTAGTTGTAAAAGTATGTTGTCTTCTTTATCAAAAGTCAAGTCATAGTACTGTTGTGGAGGGTCATTTTATTTGTTTCTAAAATGACTTAACAGTACATCATAACTTAAAACCAAAATAAAGGGCATATCCCAGCCAAAGTGGTTTCCCAAGGCCATTGTCTCTCTGATAGTTAATCCCACTATCTTCTTGCATGACAGTAACGCTGATATCGTTCATTGACGTTATCTGAATCAACAATCTGTCGTGACAATCTGTTGGATATCAGGCACCAGATGAAACACCAACATGGTCAGCAAGGGTCGTGTTAGCTGCAGATTCAGCTTTCTGCAGCTGCATACACACCTAACCCTGTGAATAGAAACAATGTTCGGAATGAAACGATTTATAGTTAATTGGTTCAATATACATGTACCAAAGTTGTTCTTTTGATGAAACATGCCTATAAGTTGTGTATATTAATGCATTAGTTCTTTCACATACACCACAGGTTACGGCCGGGAATTTCTTTTGAAGCATCATACATTTGACTTCGCTTAGCATTTAACATGTTTATTTTTTACCAGCTATCGTCAATTGATTTCCTGTAGCGACATTTACATAAACAACCATGCGTCTTTATTTATCCGGGTTTCATCAATACGGAATAAAAATATACTTCAATCACATGGAATAACACATTGTGTTCCATACATGCATATGCATATTTTTTTTTAAAATCCATTATTTAGTAGATATAGTCGGAATCGTACAATCGATTCTGTGTTTAGCAATCATTACCTTTGCACATTGAAACTAAGGGTTTGTCACGTTCTAAACTTCTGTATTTAAGTTTAACCTTATTGCACGCTGTTTGTTATACAGCTGTTCATTGTCATCCATTCACGTCACTAAAATGTCTTTGTCATTATTTAAGATCATACGACATTCTATGTAACACTATTACATCAATTGTGTAACACCTGTCATGGTGGTTGCATAAGTAAAAATCCTAACGCAATTTATGACCTAACTGGCAGTGATGTGTACATGTATATAAGGCCACCCCGCTGATGATACTTCATAGTTTGTAGCATTCACCTTCTTCTTTACCATTTGGCAAATATACACACGTAAGTACATGTACATTTAAGAGCACGGTCATTTTAGGATTTTGGTCTAAAATCATGAGTCTATATATGTAATTTGATTCTTACACCTCTTGTGCTTTGATTTAAAAATTTCATCCCGATATTTCAACGGTTTATCACCCTATAGGGTACTGATGGGTCAATGGTTCACATACCATAGCTCTCAAGTACCAAGTCTAGGTTTGTATTTATAAAGTCTTATAACAATACTTTATACAGTGATAACCATATGTTAATGTGTATAGATAGCCTAACGTGAACGTGAATATGGTTAAATTCCAATGAGTAGCCAATGAATATTGTTTTTATTCTACAGTTTCAACAATGAAGGTCCTGATCGTTGCCGTTATGTGCGTTGTTGCCCTAGCAACAACCAACGCCACCTTCCATCCTCCACTGGGTGTTGGATTTAATCCATTTGGCATTCCTCCATTGGGGCCTATAATCTCTCCAATCGGCCATCCTTTTAATCCATTCGGCTTTGGTCTTCATCAATTCGGCCATAATATCCATCCATATGTGGTGAGCTGAGTGTTTCAATGATAAGCAAATACTTACACAAAATGCTTTACAAACAAATGTTTACCAATATCCTTTTTATGTAGAACAAGTTGTAGCTAAATCAACATTCGCATGTTCTTTCAATGAACGAAATTGTACCTGGCTATATTAGAACAGGTAACAAAACTTCATTTGTAACCAACTAGGTTAATAGATCGGGTTAAAAGTGTAGTGAACGTCATGCATAGTGTAAATACTTTGATATCGTATTCCTAGTACGGCATGTATTATTATACACGTTAAAATATACACAATTTATAGACATGTTTCATCACAAGAATAACTTTGGTACATGTCTATTGAACCAATTAACTATAAATCGTTTCGTTCCGAACATTTTTCTTTTCACAGGGTTAGGTGTGTATACAGCTGCTGATACTGACTCTGCAGCTGACACGACCCTTGCTGCCATTATTGTTGTCTCATCTGGTGCCTGACATCCAGCAGATAGTCGCGACGACGTGGCCTTCAGATCGACATCATTCTCAATAATTCAACAGACTGTTAATTCAGATCGCGTCAATGAACGATATCACCGTTACTGTCATGAAAGAAGATCGTGGGATTGACTATCTGAGAGACAATAACCTTGGGACACCACTTTGTATGGGATATGCTCTATGTTTTGGTTTTAAGTTATGATGCACTGTTAAATCATTTCACAAACAAATAAAATCATGACTTTCCACAACAATACTATGAGTTGCCTTTTGATAAAGAAGACAGCATACTTTTACAACTACGTGTATGTGTATTTCATTAAGCGAAATATTTCCGTCCAAATACGCTTTGAGGTAAAAGGTTATGGTATCAAATGCCAAAGCCTTGAGGCGATTATATCAGTGTTAGATTGACAAGTATAGATAGAGCCGTCGGTAACAGTAAGTAGACCTGAAAACTAGAAATGCGTGAATTGGGTTAATGCGGCTTTGAAAGGTATATAAGTTATTTTACGGCATTTCAGCTTGATGTGGGAGGACATTCCGAAGTGATACAGGTCTTCGACGCTAAATTACCACTTTGGTGAAACCCACGAGCACGGATGTGTTGCTTCCAAGCTTAGAAACACACGTAAAACTAGCAAGAGATCAGAAATATCAAGGACTTCTCTGTGGAGACTCATGATGGCTACTGCTTCGTTTCATACCAAAAACACTGACATCACATAACAATGCTTGGGGTTAAATCCAACAATTCTGGGCATCATGCTATAGCTATATGTAGAACAAGATCAGCATGTCTCCGTCTCAAACACATCGTATAAAAACACCAAAGCCTTTTTTCCTTGATACTTATACAACTTCCCGAAAAATGAGTGTCCACTAGCCTATTATCAAAATCTGTTTTCCACCCTTCAATCTGGATTCGAACTCAGGGCTAACACATCCTGTCGCGGCAAAACTTAACAGGCCAAAACATTGTGTAACACTACGCACAGCTGCCTCTCATTGCCGCGACAGGATGTGATGGCCCTGAGTTCGAATCCATATTCAAGGGTGGAAAACAGATTCGGATAGAGGCTCGTGGACACTCATGTTTCGTTAATATTTATAAGTATTAAAATTGACAGAGATGTGACAATAATTTAAATAGTACCTAGAGTCGTGATCTTTTACGTCCACCTTCTGTTATATATTATCAATATTTTCTTTCCTTAAAACATGCTAATCTTGCTCCACCTATAGTTTTAGCATGATGCCTAGAGTTGCTGAATTCACCTCAAAGCATTGTTATGTGATGTCATTACTTTCTGTAGGAAATACACCAGTGGCCATAATGAGTCTCTACGGAAGAATCATTAATAATTCCGATCTCTTACTAACTGTGCTTATGTTTCCAAGCTTGGAAGCACCACATCCGTGCACGTGGGTTTCAGCAAAGTGGTAATTAAGTGTCAAGGACCTGTGTCACTTCGGAATGTCCTCCTACATTAAGCTGAAACGCCGTGAAATAACTGATATACCGTTCAATTCACTACCGACGACCTTAGGCTATACATGTCAATCTAACACTGATATGTTCGCCTCCAGGCTTTGACATTTGATACGATAACCTTTAATCTTAAAGCATACTTGGACGGCTATATTTCACTTAACGAAGCACACGTACACGTAGTTGTAAAAGTATGTTGTCTTCTTTATCAAAAGTCAAGTCATAGTATTGTTGTGGAGGGTCATTTTATTTGTTTCTAAAATGACTTAACAGTACATCATAACTTAAAACCAAAACATAGGGCAATCCCGGCCAAAGTGGTTTCCCAAGGTCATTGTCGCTCTGATAGTTAATCCCACGATCTTCTTGCATGACAGTAACGGTGATATCGTTCATTGACATTATCTGAATCAACAGTCTGTCGTGACAATCTGTTGGATATCAGGCACCAGATGAAACACCAACATGGTCAGCAAGGGTCGTGTCAGCTGCAGATTCAGCTTCAGCAGCTGCATACACACCTAACCCTGTGAATAGAAACAATGTTCGGAATGAAACGATTTATAGTTAATTGGTTCAATATACATGTACCAAAGTTGTTCTTGTGATGAAACATGCCTATAAATTGTGTATATTTTAACTTAGACGACTGAGCCCATGCCCCCACATCATAAATAACTGGAGATTCAGATATTGTATAACAGCCAGCCATGTTGACCACGTGTCTATGTAATCGAGGAAGGTTGCTCTTAAACAGAATTAATGACGTAAACGTTGGTTGACATACGTGTATAAAGCCTGGGCTGCTTGAGATACTGCACTCTCTCAGCATCACCTGAAGGTCATATACTTCTGTGTCTAGTACAGATACATGTGAGTACATCTAATTTGAAATGTATTATTGTAACTTTAATTTAATTATATTATACTAGTGAATTTGATCCGAATCGAGATTTTTTTTAGAAAGGTCTCCTGTAACTCGTGTTTCTCATCAGTAAGAAAATGGGAATCTGGTAAATGTGAAAAACACCTGCAGCTGACGTTGCGTCGTCATGCCACAGGCAATCACAGCTAGCTTTTTTCACCAAGACGCGGTAATTTTAAAACAACTATATTGCTGACGAAGATTTTATTTAATCGTTTTCGGCTGCCTATATTCCTCGGACATGCCATTACATTCAGTAGTTTTTATTTAAGTTACAAATCTTTTCTTGTACAGAATCAGAAAATGAAAGTCTTAGCTGTCGCAGCGGTCTGTCTGTGTGTCATTGCGACGACGAACGGCTTCGTGCCGTATTGATTCGCCCATTTGGTCTTGGTATTCACGGTATTGGTTTTGGCGTCCCTCCGTTCGGTTTTGGTGTTTCCCCATTCGGACTCGGGAGACGCCGTGGCCATTCCGGACATGGCCTCCAAGGTATCGGAGGATATGGTGAGTTACAGAGATCAGAGATGCTACAACTGAGGCGACATAAAAAATACGTTTCTCAAGCATAATTTCTCAAAGTGAGGAGGGAGGTAGGACTTCTTTATAATATATTTGAAATTTTAAACAAGGGTGAGTAGGGAGGACCAGTTTGTATTTTGTAACCTCCAAGACTAACCGGGCAACAATAAACTACAGAGTATTTAATGAAGCACTGTCATTTCATAGATAACACAGTATGTTTCATATGAAACGGGAAAATAAATAAAACATATATTGTGTTCATTAGCAATGACAGTGACGGATTTAAATGAGATTTAAAGTGACGCGCCGATTCCCGAGACATATTTTCCTTTTTCAGCCTTGTGATCAGTGCATCATTAACGAATGTCCTCAAAGGGCTCGACAAACGGACGAAACATTGATTATCACACACATCATTTCAAAATGTTCTTCCTATTTTACATTTTTATTGATCTTAGATATTATTTATTTCTATGAATTGTTTGATAGACATTAGTTAAAAGCTGATGGATGACAAATTTATATATATGGATAACAACTTCTTTATTACTGTAAAGGCGACGTTTCGGTATAGATCTTTTTATCTTTAAGTCTTGCTTGACAACGGTGTGCGGATCTATACCGAAACGTTGCCTTTACAGTATCAAAGAAGTTGTTATCCATAAATTGTGTCTACTTTATTCATTTCTAACTGGACAAAATATCGATTTCATCATCAGTCCAATTAAGGAATTTAGATACACTCTGTCTTGAGTGAGTGAATGGAGATATTGTTTCGCCGTCTGGCAATATTCCAGTCATGTTACGGCACCCTAATCGCCCTCTGACTCACGTTAACAGGCGGTTCCTAGCCATCATTTCCTCATTACTGACACTAAGCATATGTTGATCTAGTTTAGTATAAACATATTTTATTCTCATGAAAAGGATTAGGCACAAGTTATCACAACTTCGAACGCCCTCTCCCATAGAATTACATGCATGCTTATTTACAATTTATGAATTAAATGACAGAAAGGAAAGGAGAGAGATAGAGAAACGTATGCACATTCACATTGCTCACTCAAACCTTTTTCCTTTCTTTATATATGTATGTACATTCCTAAAAATGTTTTCGTTCACATGATTAGGTCAAATTGTATTGCCAACTTACATCAGGTCAATATTTACATCTCAAGTAAATTTCACAATTAACAATAGTGAATGCATAAATTCGTTTCTAGCTGATTTGAAGAAAGGACATTCAATTAAAAAATTATATGAATTTTCACATGGGCTGCCACATCGGCATTTTGGATCCTCGTTTAAACCGTTTTTATATAATTCATTTTTTAATTCACTGTCATGATGTCTTAATTTTGTATGTATTATTTTAGTTGTCCTCAACCCTTATCAGAAATATGATGGAAATGTAGATTTATCTTTTCTTAAACTTGATTTAAATCGAGAGAATATGTTGATCTGTACAGGTTACGGCGATTTTTACGATCTCTATGATTCCAACGTTGCCGCTCGACCCGGTGCCGCTCCATCCGGTCCAGCCACTTCAGCCGGTGCTGCCCCCGCCGGTGTCAACGCCGCCATGGACCCTACCATGATGACGCTCTAAGTGGATTCAGCAGCGCTAATGTAGATCACGAAGGGTGCACTGAGTGCTGAATACGATACATGACCATAGCAAATCTGCTTTGTTTCAACTTTGCACGTTGTTTTCGTTGCATTTAGTTCCACAACAACGCTTTGACATCATGTTACATCTGAGTGTAGGAATCATGTGATTGGGTGTTGAATATATAAATAAAATAACAGAAAATATCACTTGTTGATGGTATTTTGCAAGGTACGGAAAGCAATACTTTTTGGACATATGACGTATGAACAGGCTAGTTGAGTGGACATTTGCATTGAAATCTAGTAGTTGAGTGCGTTAGGCTTGACACCCCCTTGAACAGTGTACCTAAATATGAAGGTGTCTTGGAGGCTCGGCAGGGTTGAATCATAGGAGTGTCAAGAGCTTCTGTCCTGTGCCACACTGAATCCTAAGAAAGAAAACGTTTGACAAGTGACTTTCTTCGGAATATGCCCGTGTTCAACCAGCAGTAAATGAGAGTATATCCAGATAGATGAAATGATAATATGAATGGAAAACCGTCTTGCCTAACAGCCAGTTGGGTTGTATGCTGCCCAAATGTAAGTTTAGGACACACTGATCCATTGGCCTGCTTAATAACTTCGAAGCGCCATGAGCATTATTTCAGTTAGGCTTTCTGTGAATAATTTCTACTACACACCGAATGAATTCATCTCAGCTCATATGATATTTTGGAATCCGAACCCAGGAACAGCGGATTCCCGTAGCTAAGGGATGCAACTCTGCACAAACCTAAACCATAGGGTCATCGTTGTCTCTTAACACTGGTATAAAATATTATCACGGCGAGTCAGCTTGATATAGGAGGAAAACACGAAATGTTGGAGGTCTTAGACGTTTACCACTTGGATAAATTATACCCAGGAGCTTGAGTATGGGACCAACAAACCTTGAAACACAGGGGCTAAACTAAGATACAGAACTAAACTCCACACGCCTGAACTATCTGGTCATATTTGTTTCCGAACACTGGCATATTTTTACTAATGTATCGATTATATTTTATGACATAATTTGTTGCGATTTATAGTACATATAAATTCTTATTTTGAAGTTTAAGGGATTTCCGAGGATTTGATTGGTTTATTTGCTGATCACATAAGCCGTTCATTTTTTAACTAACTTTCAAAAATGACGTTTACAAAGTTTAAACTTCACCTTTTGACGTTTACATGATTTTTGACCGGAACTTGCTTTACATGGGGAATCTCCTCGTGGAACAATTCTCTATTCTCATCCCTGCTTAGCACCATCTCGATGATCGGCAATGTCGGACAATAAATGAACGATTTTGTTTCACTCAAGGTTTCATTAAATACTTGTTTACATATTCGCGCATTAACCCATTGGATGCCACAGGGATATATATGTCTCTCCTCTTCAACCCCCACTTTGAAGTCGAATATAAGTTCAAAATACATGATGCACACAAATACTCTGCAAGGTTTTCAATTCCGTGGGATATTCCCTGTTCTGTGATAGGCCTATCATCCAATCCCATTTTAGGCAAAGGAAAATTTCTGAAAATGACCGCTGAAAATTAGGAACATTGTAAATCTCACCATTTGTGACACATTACTAAATATCCATTCACGGCGTTATTTTGTGTATGTTTTGAAAGCAAAATATTGGATACATAATCGGAGAATCGAATTAAAAAAATAGCATATCAATGATCTCGGTTATTTGTCGTTGATTATCCAATCACCAATAATCAATATTAAACATCGCCGATCACCCTACAATCGTTTAGAATGTTTTGGAAAATGCTCAAACACGAGCGCCGATGTATCCACCATATATATTGGACAGTGTTTAGAAAAAAACCGACAAAACCCTTTCCATATCCAATAGAAATCTCTGCATAAAGCAGGGTCTGTAACGTTCACGTATGCCGGTTATGAGACGCCAATCACATCATGTATTTGTCAAACTCAGCTGCGATACATACATCCCCGAATCGCTCATACATTTTAGTTTCAAATGATAAATGGTCTTTGTCACTAATACAAACTTTCTAGATGAACTCTAGCAACATAATCACTCATGCAACATCCAAGAGTTACAATGTGCTGTCAGTTTGTTTAACAGGGTTCCAATTGATCGTCATTAATTAATTTAAACACAGTGATCACCTGTGAGGACAACAATGAATATACATCATAAAAAACACTGGACAGATCGCGGTATCTACAATGTTGATCACTTCATCTCACCCATGCGATATCTCCTGTGGGAGCCAGTTTCAGATGATAATATAAAAAGACATAAAGCATGTATTATTTTTCCAAAAGGGTAATTAATTAAATTAGAGGTAATATTGCCATAACAGTATGTATGGAAATATGTTACGTACTTACAGAAAATATACGTGTACACCTTGTGTTGATTTCTATGTTAAAAATATTTTGCACAGAGACCACAGCTGTATTTTAGCCAAGTTTATATGTGGAGTTTTACCTTTGTTTCTTGAGATAGGCAGATATCACTATCGCAGAGGCTATGTAAATATTGCAATTGTGATTTGGTGGAAGATGAACTACAATGCAGTTTTTTTATGAAGCTTTACGGCATGATGTACATTGTGCAGCTGGAGAAGGCAACCGAAATTTTAATGTGATATATTTAGAGAAATATATTTATGAATTCAAACGTTTTACAAAAAATTGCTTGTTCAAATGCTTTTTAAAATATTGAGGAGACGACAATCGTCGTCATGATTACTACATTACCTTTCTCTATATCTATCCCTTCTCTTTCTTTCGCTGTTGAATCGATGAGTTTGTTTTTGTTTAATGTGAGTCTTTCGATTTCGTAGATATACTTCCCACCTCTCACATATGATAGATATTATGTATATAGGGTCTCATTAGCCAATGTCTGTCTTTAGACCCACTCCAAAACCTTTTTATCTTATGTGTTTCGATTTTATAATGTAAATGTTGTGCGTGTGACACTTTACTAAACATTTTACTACAGCTGCTACTACTTCTACTATTATGTCGAATGAGCAATCATACTCCTGAAAGCGTGATAAAACGGGCTCTTATGCATCATTCCTAGAACAGGTGATCCATAACTAAGGTAAATCCTATCGAAGCTCTCAAGGGTTTAACTACCAAAAGTATGAAAACTGTGAAATGAGTTTTCTAGAAAACAAAGTGTGTGAGTTATGTGTCATTGCTGACAAGTTCCATTACTTTTCTCGATGTCCTTAATACAGGAAAATAGCTACATGATGTGTATATGAATACTGAATGGGTTCGATAGGCATGTTTCAAAGAGACATAGAAGGTTTTGTGTTCATTGAGGCGGGTTATTACTGGTCGGGAGGGGTCTACAGTGTAGCTGTCCCAACAATTACAAAATCGGTGTCAATGAAGGAACAAAGATAGCTCTGCATTGACCATCCACACATGAAATCCACACAATCACAGCATAACGTCGAAAAACTTTAACTGCTTCATGAACAGTGATCAAAGCGTTTCCTACCCAAAGCCTTTGACCTCACAAAGGAATAATCCTACAAGATCATTCAACTGCACTAACACAGGATGAATCAACCGCAACATCTGTAATTAGGTACTAAACAGTCTGTTCACCGCAAGCGCATTTGAATACAGCTTTTCTGGCTTCGTCTGTCCACATGTATATATGAAGATAGGATCATTTTTAATTTGAAATATGACCATTCATCTGATGAAGTGACAATAAGTAACGTAGACACAATCTGTGGATAACAACTGCTTTATAAATTATTATACTGTAATACCGACGTTTCAGTATAGATCCTTATGCCGTTGTCAAGCAATAATTAGTCTTGAAAAGATGTGTATAAAGAAGAAAGAAGTTGAAATCAAAATAACATGAACTTATACATCTTGCAAAATTTGCGTCAAATGTATTCAATCTATGCAACACGAAATGGCGTAACCTGCCAATTTGTAAGTACATGTATTATTAAACTAAAGTCCTTTAGCACCCTTTCACATTTAACAGCGTTGGGTGTTCATGAAAGAAAGATGTTTTACTGTCAATCAAAGCTACATACAGTGTAAATAGAGATAATTAATTAAATGTATACATTATGATTTAATTGTACAGAATTGCAGTAGCTCTGTGTATAAACACATGTTTATAAACGTGTATGAGTGTGTGTACTATAGGGCTCACATCCACTCCAGGTTGAATAGTTGTTTAAATTGACGTGTAAACGACAATATTGAAATGCCTAGATACATGGAGCCGCATGCTTGGTTGCATTTACTTAAACACTGATACATTTAATCGACATGTACTTGGCGGATCAGATCCCCATACATTTTCCATTTATCTGCAAAAACAATGGAAATATCTGAAATATGTATTTTTACACTCATGGTCATCATTTGATTTTTGTATACATGGGAAACACTTCACTCAGTGATACAACCATCACGCAACATTTCAAATCATCATGATAATTTATTGTCAAGCGCAAAGGTCATTGAAAGATACATAATGAAATATAACTTTGCATAAAAAAGTAGTTCTTTGCAAATGCATTAGTTCTTTCACATACACAAGTTACGACCGGGAAAATAATTTGATGCATCATACATTTGACTACGCTTAGCATTTAACATGTTTATTTTTTTACCAGCTATTTTAAATTGATTTCCTGTTGCGAGATTTACATTAACAATCATTAATCCGGGTTTCATAAATACGATGTAAACATATGCTTCAATCACATGGAATAACACATTGTGTTCCATACATGCATATTTTGAAAATCATCTATTTTTTAGTAGATATAGTCGGAATCGTACAATCGACTCTGCGTTTAGCAATCATTACTTTTGCAAATTGAAACTTAGGGTTTTGTCACGTTCTAAACTTCTGTATTTAAGTTTAACCTTATTACACGCTGTTCGCTATACAGTTGACTCATTGTTCATTATCCTCCATTCACGTCAATAAAATGTCTTTGTCATTATTTAAGATCATACGACAGTCTATGTAACACTATAACATCAATTGTGCAGCACCTGTCATGGTGGTTGCATAAGTAAAAATCCTAACGCTATTTATTACCTGACTTATACATGTATATAAGGCCACCCCGCTGATGATACTTCATTGTT